CCCCCCCCCCCCCCAAGCCCTGAGGTCTGGAGGACCAGAAACTTGTATTCAGTGGCGTAGCTGGTTGGGGGGTGGGTGGGTGTGGAACCCACCGGGTGACACAATCTCAAGGGGTGACAACAAATTGTAAAATTGCGTATTTATAGCGCACACACTGCTCGGTCTAACCGAAATTTATAAAAGGATAACAGATGATACATAAATTTTCCACCCATATAACCAATCAAAATGCGTGTTTTATTAAAATTTCAAGGTTGATGCGTGGAAAATTAGGTTACCTTATTATTAGGTCAGAAACACAGCGTTTGACCATGTTTCAACGCCGAATGAAGTGTTCGGTAACTGTTGTAAGTGACAGGAAGCTATATTTATCTAAATTCTGATAAATAAAACTATCCTTTGATAACAATGGGCGATTCTAAGTTCGTTGCAGTTCTTGCAGACCTTCAATTAATGTGTCTTTGTTCTCGTATATGTTATACCGTGGACTGAGTTTTAACAAGAAAAATTACACCGTGAAAGTCGACCGGGGGGGGGGGGTTGGTAACACCACGAGCTTGCCGGACCGGGTGACCCCAACCCTACCTACGTTTCAATTAATGGGTCTTTGTTCTCGTATATGTTATACCGTGGACTGAGTTTTAATAAGAAAAATTACACCGTGAAAGTCGAACGGGGGGGGGGGGTTGGTAACACCACGAGCTTGCCGGACCGGGTGACACCAACCCTACCTACGTCACTGATTGTATTTGCTGCCATTGCTAGTTGTTGCTGTGTTTTTTTTTAAAAATAAGTTTTTATGTATTTTGATTAGCAGCAGTCATTGGCGCCCGCAGGTAGGGGCAAGGTGGGGCACTCCCCCCCCCTGGATTGATTGGATAATTTTTTTTTAGACAAAATAGACAAAAAAAGTATTAAAGTAAAGAGAAAATAAAGAGAAAGTAACTAAGCTGATGTCCTGTCCGGTCGTCCACCATACAAATACGCTACAGTAAATTAAAACTACATTAAAACATTACTAAAAAATTTTTGCCCCCCCCCCCACCCTGGAAAGTTTTCTGTGGGCGCCCATGGCAGCAGTAAATGTTTTTTTGGTGGATTTTTGGTGGCGCGTTGCTTGTGTGGGTAATTGTTTCCCTTGTTTAGAGAAAGTTAATTCAAGAAATGGAACTACCATAACTAAATTATTAAATTGTAAAAATTGTATTACAATAAAATGTCGATGTTCAGAAAGGGCGGGGGGGGGGGGTGTGTTAAACCGGAGTCAACCTGTTAAGAAAGTTAAGAATCCCTGCCCTAGAGCATTTATTCCAAAAGCGGGCCGTCAACCATTTTCGTTCCATCCCACATCATGTGGTAGGCCCCCTAGTCCCAAATCTATGACTCCCCGTGTCCACATTTAGCTATAAATTCTCACGACTGTCATTGTAACTGCACCCCGATTTTCCTCCCCCCCCCCCCACTGGCGACGGTCCTGTAACTTGATCAGAGGCCATTCTTAGGACCTCCATTTTCGTTCCCTCCCACATCATGTGGTAGGCCCCCTAGTCCCAAATCTCTGCCTCCCCGTGTCCACATTTAGCTATAAATTCTCACGACTGTCATTGTAACTGCACCCCGATTTTCCTCCCCCCCCCCCCACTGGCGACGGTCCTGTAACTTGATCAGAGGCCATTCTTAGGACCACGCATACCTGTAGGCCTACCGATTCTCTCAAAGATCGTACTTTAAAAATAAAAAAAAGAAATGTATAATTGTTGTATAAAATAATAATTTTAAAAATATCTGTAATTTAGGGTTATTAAGAACAATTCTACTATACAATAGTCCGCTTTTCATGTGACGTCACATGACTTGAGGCCCCCCTCCCCTCGTCACACATCGTCACAAAACTCTTACCCCCCTCCCCCCCCCCTAGACGCCCATGGCGTCATTTATTGATGGCCCCTAAGTGGGACTAGGTCAAAGTAAAATTAATAGCAAAAAATTGTAACGGTACCGGTAATATTATAATGAATAAATTAAGACCAAGGGATTCACATGAGGGGGGGGGGTAGTTGTAGATTTGTATGACTCATAATAAATAGTGAATACTAGTTAATAGTAAACAATAGTTATAGTGTTCAGTTGCTACGGCAACGGGGTTAGAACCACGAAGACAAAACCGATAAGACTGACGAAACCTATTGATTATTTCAATGGAAGCCAATGCCACCTATTGATTTTGTTGCTTTTTTACCTTAAGTTTTAGAGATGAATGAATAATGAATGTACTGATAAGTGATTCAGTCAGATGGGACGATTTCATTCTTCATCATTCAATTTCATTAGATATTTATTATTTATTATACTGGGATTGGGATATCAATCAATTTAAAGCTGTAATTCAAATAAATTTAAGGATATTTAAGGTAGTATATTACTATTTACTTTTATTTTGTCTCATTGTTTTTGTGACTCGTAAAAAGTAGTCATAATCCATAATAATTATGCCATGTCCATGTATAATTATTAATTGTATATTTATCCAAAAAAAAATATAATCAAATTATTTTTAGAGCTTTTACTTTTCAAATAATGTCTTTGGTAATTATTTTTAATTTTTTTAACCTAAGCCTTAAGTTAAACAAAAACCATTAACGAATTGTATACAGCAGGCCTGCACAACATACGGCCCGCATGGGACCCGCCAGCACCCACTTTGCGGCCCGCGAAGTAACGAAATATTCTTTATTCTTTATATCTTCTCTATAGCTCCCCCCCCCCCCCACCCCCCCCNGCAAAGTTTTTCATAACTTAATACGGCCCGCCTTACATTTTGAGTTGTGCAGGCCTGGTATACAGTATAGTCAAACTAATACTAATGGCATAATAACAGAAAAAAAAAAAAGAAGTTTGTTCCAGCCATGCTTTGTCATTTACGGCAAGATTTAAAAAAAATAATTAAAAATTTTTTTTTTTTTTTACGGATTGTAGTCCTCTTCTGTCAATGAGGTGTTGATGTTCAAGAATATGTCAACATCCGGTTGACAGCATTACTGAAGGATAGTAATCAATAACCCATTTATTTATTTAATTCCCAATTAAATTCACTTCAAAATATACGATACCACATGACAGTACCGCGTGTAAGTAACTATTAAGAGTTGTTGCAACAACTTATTATTGATCGGAATGTCTAAGCATATGGACGCTTCGGATAAATGCCATCTTCATAGTCATAGCAGACTAATTAATAATTAAATTAAATTATGAGTAATTTACTTGAGTCTTGAGTGATAAAAATATACAATCAATACATTGACAGTGACAGTATACAGCTCAGTTCAGTATTATCAATAGGGTCTAATATAAATATATAAACGATCATTCTTCCTACGAACAATAATTGCTTGGAACTCTCGCATAATTCTGTGGTGCACCACTCAGGGACCACTGTCGAGTTAAAAATAAAATTAAAGGTTAAATAGTAAATTTAATATTTACACAAGGAGAATAGAGAATTTACTATGTCACATAGATGGAGAGAAATTGAGGACCACTATTAAATTTTGATTGATCCCATATCATGGCATGTTAATAGTGACATGAATAATAATAAATTATGAATATAATATAATTATAAAACTAGGGCTTAACCGGGTGCATATTTTTTTTTACACCGGATCAAGTAATCAAGGTATTTTGAGAAAATCCACAGTGGGTCGAAGTGTCTCAATAAAAGAGTTAACTTCTCATTTTCTTTAATACTAATACTAATATGCAACAAAAATTTTTGCCCCATGTCATTGTGAGAGTGCATTTCCTTCATCAACTGTTTATGTCAAGACATAACCCTTTGATAGGAATAGCCAGTTGAAGGATCCAGGAAAAGAGATGATGTTGTACAAAAACCCATGGACAGAGAATGTTCATTTTAAAACAAAGACTTACGAAACAACAGTCGCTGTAGTAATACCTTCCTGTAACAGGCTACGGAAAAGACTCACAGGTTTACACATCTCTGTAGTGAAAGGATGACCCATGACCCAGTTCTGTGTGGTGTGCAGCCCCAGAACAAATATGTGGAAAAAGTGACATTTAAAAAAAATTCCTTACTAAGGAAAAAAAGTAAATCTATTTACCAGAGTTCAGACTTAACGCTTGAAGCTCGCTGTGTGACAGAGGAACATAACAATAAGAACACCAAATAATAGTGGTCTCCCCCTAATGAAAAAATCTAGCAATTTACCACAGTATAGTAGTCAGACATGAAGCTCGCTTTTTTTTTTACTCAGTACTATTAATATAAAATATGTGGAGTTTTTTTTAGGGGGTGGGGGTGATTTTGAAGAGGAAGCAGGATGCACCAGAAGCGAAATATATTGAAGAGACGGTGCAGAAAATCTGAATTGTTTTGTTTTCATTCCTCACTCCTGCTAGTGTATTAGAGCCGTAATGTATACCAATGATGTGCTCCTGTGTTCACGTCCACTGAAATGGGATGAGACCGGAGATGGTTTGTTTTCTTCAATATCTCGAAGATGTTTACATTACCTGAAATAGCCTACTTCCTGTCTCACCATATAAAATGTGCATCATCCTCTGCAAAAAATCACATCCATGTGAAGCCCACTTTGATGGTAAAGGTCCCCTTAGGGAAGCCAATGTGTACAGTTTCCAGTAAATTTCGGAAAGTCCTTGAACATGACTTAGTCCCAATGTGAGAAAGGTCGCTCGAAGGCAATTGTGAACCAGAAGATCACATATATTTTTATCCTGTCTGAAGATAATACCGGTACGTGTATTGATGAGAGTACCCTGTTAGTGTAAGGGTCAGCAAGGAGCATATGATGATTCTTTAAGAATATTTTTTGGCAATCACATTGTGAGGCTGGTAGGTAAGTGTGACTCTCATTTTTATTTACACAAGATTTGAAAGCATTATTACGTCTGATTGTGATCTGCTTGAGTGCTGAACGTGCGTAGTCTCAGGATAAGATCTGGAGTGGAAGAAGTCAAACATTTCATTTGCCCTGTCTAAAAAGTCTTCATCTGACTTGCAAATGCTGTGTACTCTAAGAAGTTGGGAAAAAAGGTATATCGTCTTTGCACCATGTGGGAGTATGAATATAATAAATGACTATGGCTGTCAGTTGGTTTGTAGTAGGCAGAGGGGACTATTCCTTTTTTGAGAGGTTAGAACAGTAACGTTTGGGGGAGAGATTAATTTTATATCATGTCCATGTTCTGTGCATCTGATATATGGATTGGATTGATCGGAAGGGGGTGTCCAATTGGACCGTCATTGCTTCTGAAAAGGAAACATATCATACTCTTTTGGGTGCTGTCTGTACCATAAAAAGTGGTACTATAATTGCGAAGAGCGAAAATAGTAATAAGATAACAGAAATTAATTGAAAATGGTCACCAGAAGACTTAAGAGGAATAAAATTGAGTCCCTTAGAAAGGAGACATATTTCGCCATCATTGCTTCTGAAAAGGCAACATATCATCCTCTTTTGGGTGCTGTCTGTACCATAAAAAGTGGTACTATAATTGCGAAGAGCGAAAATAGTAATAAGATAACAGAAATTAATTGAAAATGGTCACCAGAAGACTTAAGAGGAATAAAATTGAGTCCCTTAGAAAGGAGACATATTTCGCCATCTGCTAAAGCAGGCATTTATTCGTGACGTCCTTTTAAATGTTCTATCTTTTTTTCATGCCTAAATATATCTTTTCAACTATTTATTCATTTCACTTTCACCCCCATATATTTTTAAGATTGAGAAAGCTTACTTTTTTCCTGAAATTCATAATTATTATGATAAGTATCATGATTTTATTTTTTATTTTATTTAGGCCCTATAAAAAATAGGATATATTATATAGTCATAGGGTTACCCATGACCCATTTGGTTACATGCGACTAAAACAATAATTATAATACTTATATACAAGCCCTCGGACTGTTATTGACAGGCGAGTAGGGGGCTCCCAAATTGCCCAACAATTGTTGACATTATATATCGAGTCCACTAAGAGTAAGAAGACAACTCTGCCCCTTGCAATATTGGATCCCATGCCTAAACTTTCTTAGAAATGTTCTTCTATTTAGAAGTTGTTTTTATAAATATAAAATAAAAATAGAGTGTTTCATTTGAATAATTTTTTTTTCAATTATGTTTTTCAGATAATTTCTGATGTGTGAACTGCCTGATTGATTGATGGATTAGTCCTGGTTGATGGATTTGTCCCCGTTGATGGCTTAGTTATGGATTTTTAAAGGAGAAAGTTTAAGTATCTACACCCATAAAGATTCCTGGAGACCATCTTCAAAAGACTTTGGAGAGTTTCAGAAGTAATGTTTTAATTTCATTAACGCATCATTATGCCAAGCTACAATCAACAATCTCAACTGATAAAACACATAATATCTAGAATCAAGGCAAATAATGTTGAAATTTCACCTCCGGGTCACGACAGTGAAGCTGCGTTAGGAAGTTCTGAGCGTGAGACTGAAACTCTTCACAAACTCAAACAAAGTTGGAGCTGTTTCAAAGCATTATTTGTGAAGGAGATCAAATCAAAATCTCAAACAAAATCAGCTTTTATTTTGGCCTTGGAGAATATTTGTTGTAAGGATGGCCTTGGTGTTACTGGAGAGGAATTAGACAAATTTGATGATTTCTTAGTTACATTTGAAGATATCTGTCTTCCCATATTATTTTTGGTGTACGAAAGGTTCAGATTTTACTCATATAAGTTTTGTGATGCCGGTTCGAAGAAATCGAATGAAGAAGTAATCTCAGCAATGATCACTCTCTCGTCGTTTTGTGGAATAAATTGGATGCCTCTAACGTATTTTAAACAAATTATACGAGAAAGCATTGGCATAGACGAGACAGTGAAACGAGGGTTAATTCTATTCTTGAGTGCGGCGGGTGGAAGAAAGTTTCTTGATGATACTGGAATAAGGGAACCCTCAAACAGTAAATTGTATGGACATCGTACACCTTTTAAAGTCAAATCTGAAACAGGTAATGATTTTGTGAACGGGGAAATTGGTAATAATAATAAATTCATTAGCATTTCTGCACCTAAAATTTATGAAGATGATCTTTTGACAAGTGATAAATTGGTTGAGAATAAGTCTACATTTCAGGAAAGTGGGAGAGCGTTCGTCACTGAAACAGGTGAATACACAGCCGCTCGGGAACAAGATGACAGTTTATCATTCACCAAGACCTTGACCCACCGTTCACAAAATGAACCAGGTGCACTTGCTCAGGTGAAGCTCAAGTTAATTGGAAGCCCAGAAGATTGCACTTGGCCAGTTTGTGGGAAGCCATCTGCCAAGAAGAATATAAAGAAACATCTCAAGACACATGTTTCTGAAGGCAAATACAGTTGTCCCAGATGCTCATTGACATTCAAATTTAAACATTTTTTCAATGCCCATTTAAAGAGCCACATCCATGATGATAATGAAGCCAATAAGATTGAAAAGAATAACCATAAAGTACCTTTGAGCCCTTCTCTAAACATTTGCCAGAAGTCCAAATGTGCAGACGGTCAAAAAGGTTCCTTGGGGCTGTTTAAAGGTGGCGCCTCAAGTGTCTGTGATGAAAAGTTTCCTATGTCCTCTATGTACAAAGCTCCCCATAAGCTCCTTTCACAAGTCTTTCAGTGTGAAATTTGCCAGGCCCAGTTTAAGGGCGCAGCCAAGCTCAAGCGTCATAGCCTCACACATACAGGAGAAAAGCCCTTCAAATGTCATTGTTGTCAAACACCTTTTGCCGACAGATCGCACCTCAATGTGCATCTGAGAGTTCACTCTGGAGAAAAACCATTCAGGTGTCAGTGGTGCGCTGCTAATTTTTCAGAGTCCACCAAACTGAAAAATCATGTGCGCACCCACACAGGTGAGAAGCCCTTTGTGTGTGAAATTTGCGGTGTGATGTTCTCTGTCTCATCCAGTTTGAAGAGTCACAAGAAAACACACACAAATAACAAGCCATTCAAATGTGAAATTTGCAATTTTTCAACTGCGCACTCATCCAACTTGAAGGCCCATTTGAAGCTTCACCTAGGTGAGAAGAAATTCACCTGTGACACATGTGGAGCATCTTTTTTAGAAACCGCAAAGCTGAAACGACACAGGATGGTACACACAGGGGAACAACCTTACAGCTGTGAAGTCTGTGGGAAAAGATTTGCGGATAAATCTCACCTCACTGTCCATCTACGGATCCACTCGGGTGACAAGCCTTTCAAGTGCACGCACAGAGGCTGTGCGTCTGCATTTGTCGAGTCGTCAAAGTTGAAGAATCACATGCGGCGTCACACAGGAGAGAAGCCTTACATCTGTGAGGTTTGTGGCACCTCATTTGCGGTCCCATACAGCTTAAAGTCCCACATGCGTAGGCACACTGGAGAAAAGCCGTACAAGTGTACTCTTTGCAACTACGCCTCATCTCAGTCTTCCAACCTAAAGACTCACATGTCTGTTCACAACGGGAGCAGGCCTCACTCCTGCACTATATGTGTGGCTTCATTCAGTGAACTTTCCAAACTAAAAAGACACATGGTAGTTCATCGTGATGTTGGTGAAAGTGAAAATGCTGCTTTGATAAGCGATTCAAGCCAGAAGAGTGAACTTTTGATGAATGGGGATATATCTTTCAATCGCTTGGTTGCTGAAAACCATCATGTTGAAAGCTATTTGTTTAAAAATCACCCAGAACAACAAAGGAAACCAGGATGTGATCGAGAGACCCACTTTAAACCCTCGGACACTGATCACAGTGGCCAGGATTTATGTGAGCCTACCACAGACTCGGGTCAGTTTGAGAAAGATCAGTCTTACTTGTTTCAAAAAGGCAGCAGCTTGCATTTATATCAGTTGGTCAGTCAACCTGCAACAGGAAATGCTAACTCTCAGATCTCAGCCAATGACCTTCACCCCCCATATCTTGGTGATCAGAATCTCATAGCCAGAAGTGGTGACCACTCCACAGCAGGCGGGTCACAGCAGTTGGTTATGGGCCAACATATCAAAGACATAGAAGTCAGTGTCTTGTATAATTCTGCTCTGTATAAAAGCGCTTATTTTCAAGAGTCAGCTGTACACTTGGAGTTGGGACATTTGTAGTTCAGACATAAACATCTTAAATTTTTTGATATAAATAAGCCCTTATTGTCCAGCATATCTCCTTGAGAACACCGCAATTCTCCCACATGCAGATTCCCTTGGGCACTCCGCAATTGTCTTGCATGCAGACTTTCTTGGGAAGGCCACAATTGTCCTGCATGCATTGTTGTTGGTCAAAGTCAAATGAACATGTTCATGAATGGCATGAAGAAGACTTGTGTTCCGTCTGTTTGGCTGGTTTTATGTTCAAGTACATTTCGGTATGCAGTTCTACTTGACAGTTAAAAAAAACAATGTGTTATTGTCAAACTGTGTTTACTTCTTAATTTTCTAAAATGTCTAAATCTTGCCGTAAATTAAACTAAAACTTTCGGTAAATAAAAAGCTATAAAAGTGGTTCAGAATGTTGGAGATAGAAAATTACATTGTGAAATAAAAAGAGCTACAAACGTCAACATCTGAAACATAATGTTTATTGAGTAGGTCCTGATTATCTTATGTCAACACACTCCAAAAATAAATAATCTGCCATTATATAAACAGCAAGAAATTTAAAAAAACCTGTACATTTAACAATTCCAGGTCACATTAAATTTTATTATTAGTTGTACATAACTACTGTAGGATAAAGATTGCAACTCCTCTTTGCATTAATCTGTAACAATCTTGGCAATGTCATTAACATTAATCAACATACAATAATTTAGAAAACTTTACAACAATGAGCCAACAAGAAAACTATCCGCAAAATAAATATGTAGAGATTATTTCATCCAGTAAATGAAAACCTTACCTATGAAAACCCAGAAATGATCAAAGTTAAACACATGATGAAGTATAAAGGGATAAAGTTAAACACATGATGAAGTATAAAGGGATAAATTGAAGAATATAAAATTAAAATAAATCTATATACTTACAATAAATCTAACTAATATATCAACAATAAATCTAACTAATATATCATCTCTAACAATTAAAATAAAACCTCTCTGAACAAGTTAAACAGATCTGCTCAAAATATATAACAAAGTCATAATAAAATGTCCCAGTTATGCTAAGATAGATAAATGCAGTTAATCTGAATGCATGCATAGTTGATTCACATTTATTCATGTTTTTTTTGTTCCCCGGTAGTAAAAAATGGGGGTAGTTAAAAAAAATAAGGAGTACAAAGGGTGTTATATTAGACCTCTAAACCAATTTTAACCCAGTGTAAATTGTACACAAACTGAAAAGGATGACCCATGTAAACAAACTGAAAGGGATGACCCTTGACATTTACCACTGTCACCAGTCAAACTGAGCAAAGTTCATATAATAATCTATAAATTATAAATATACATAAACCTGATCTACAAGTACTGTCTTGTAAGCTTAATAAAGTTTCTGGTAAATACACAGACAGCAAAAGGTACAACTGGAAGACCATCACAAGTGACTTATGCTGGGTTCACAGTTCACAGCCACAGTATCCCCTGGTACTGACTGACTGACAATCTCCTAGTGCTCACTGACTGACAAATCAAAAAGGACAGAATCATAACAGCCATAGTGACCATCCCACAGTGTTCTCTACATGTTTATCACAAAGGACATAGGCAGCTACATGCTGAACAAAGACCCATCATGACAGAAACAGTTTGCTTTAACCTGACAAGAATTTAGAGAAAAAAAATCAAATATTTCATTCTTGGATCTATATTAAAGAATTGTTTAGTTTTAGGAAAATTCATTACAATAACATAACATGCATTTGATTTGGAATTTAAATAAACCGCTCAACCAAGAGATACAAACAATGTCATATCATAGACGGGTGCAAGCTCAATGAATAACAAAATTATCGTTTTTTTTTACTTAGCATGAAATGAATGGTTGAAATAATTTTGAGTAAGATTTCTTATCAAGTTACTCACACGAATCATCAATGAAAGATTGCAACAAACAAGACAAAAACTGAATCATGTCGTAAGACTTTTAAAGTTATTACCATGAGATTCAAGCTATGAAGACATTGGCTTAAATTTTAGATTGGCCTAAGCCATTCACATGAATTAACCTAAGCCGTTCAGGTGAATGAACTTAAGCCGTTCAGGTGAATGAACCTAAGCCGTTCAGGTGAATGAACCTAAGCCGTTCAGGTGAATGAACTTAAGCCATTCAGGAGAAATAATGAACCTAAGCTGTTCAGGTGAATTAAAATGTATTATTAAATAAGAGTTACTGCCCACTAACACACACCAAATGATGACCTGTGGGTATATTTAAATTAACAAAAAAAAAAATGAAACTTGAACAAATGCAGCCAAATAATTATACACAAAAAAGCAACTACTCATCCCCATGGAATAAGTGAAATCGGTAGACTCCAGAATAAAAACTGAAACTACTCTCAAATCCGATGGTTCACCGAAAAATGCTACCATTTCTGTGCATAAAATTCACAGCATCATTTTAAGTTTTTATGAAATGACGGATTTCATCATGTTATTAAGGTACCTACCTAATAAGATCACCAAAATGTGGCAAACCAGATATGAGCATCAAATAGGGTAACATCGAATGAAAGAGACAGAAAGTCTCTGGGTCCTGTCTCAGCAGTGTGAGATCATAGCATACTATTTTATTAGTTAATTGCTGGAGTAGATTAAAATTGAACTATGTATGCGTATGTAAATTTAATATAGGGTAAATTTTAAATACGGTAAATAGAATTTAAATACGGTAAATAGAATTTAAAGATAAGAGAAACAAGTGTAAAAGGTGTCTCAATACATTTCAGCTTTGCCTAAGAGCAAGGTACTTTTACTTTTATACAACAGAAAGAAAAATACTAAAAAAGTTCTCCCATAAAATTTAGAGCAACTGTTCTCAATCTGTGGGTCGCTACCCCTCTGAGGGTACAATGACCATCGGAAAACACATATTTATGAAGTGGCAACAAAAATAATTTTATGGTTAGGGGTCACCACAACATAAGAAAGTGTATTAAAGGGTTGCGGCAGTAAGAAGGTTGAGAACCACTGCTTCAGAGCATCATTACTTATTCAATTGAGGCTTGGGTGATTCTTATCCATAATTTAACAATTAAAGCTGCCCTTTGAGGTTTTCATAATATTCTGAAACCAATAAAATTTCATTCTGAATAAAGTTTTTAATTTGTTTTTTCAAATCTTGGTTGGTCAGAAAATCTTTAAGTTGAAACATGTCCATGTTACATTTGATAAATTCTACAGTTTGAGGTGACATGGTTTCATAAAACAAAACAACTTCCATGCTGGATTAGAAGTATTTTTGTGGTAATCGCGGTTCAGTAAAGAACCATCAAGGAAAAATTAAATATTTGTATACAGTTTAACAGATACGAATAAATATTTTTTTTAACAATTTAATTTAAGGAGTAATCTACAACAACATTTTTTATGACCTAATCATAAAACACCAAAAACTTAATAAAAGTGATGGAATAAAAAAGTTGCCTCAACCTGGACTACAACACAAGACAGGTGAGTAATCTTACAAATATACAGGTCATGGACACTATTTCTCACCTGGCAATTAATAAAATGTATAAAAATGTATAAATTTATCTGGATAGAAAATCTATAAATCATTAAATGGTTACAAAGCTAATCAACTGTTGTAAAACTTCAACCAACCAGTGTTGTAAAATATACCAGTACTCTATGTAATACTCCAAGATCCAGTAAGGAAAAACTAGAATCTCTTTCTTATGAAAACATTGACTATGGCATCAAAGGGTGCAAGGACTTCTGGTCGTTGTCATCAAGGCACAGTTTGTGTCTGTTGTTCAGGGGGGGGGTCCGGGCGCGGACTTTGGCTCCATCATTCGGGGGTGTTAGCATGAAAGCTTGATTTTGCTGGCACCGTCTGATGGCGGACACACAAAGAATGTTGCCTTGTTTCCCATAGCTTTGTACTTGGACTGTTACAATAAAAAGTGCAAGAAATTAATAGTGCTACTATGAAAAGTGCAAGAAAATTAATAGAGCTACAATGAAAAGTGCAAGAAAACTTCCATGCTGGATGAGAAGTATATGTAGATTATACTTATTAATAGTGCTACAATGAAAAGTGCAGCAAAATAGTGTTACAATGGAAAGAGTAGTGGTTGGATAATTATATATTAAATTTTAAGAATGGAACCTATAATTCATAAAAAAATATAAAAATGAAATGAGATGGAAATAATAATTAGTAGTTTCGCCCAGGAATCAAGGAGTCTCTGTCATGTGACAGGAATGTTGACTAGCCTTATGCCACCACAATGGCTATATGAACTATATGCAATATCGGCAATGAAACAAAACAGGATGTGCAAGGTGAACCCAGTTCTGGCAGCACAATCTACATATGTTGGTAATTTTATGGTGGGTAGGGAAGCCAATATTAACCAGCTTTCATTTCTTTTAGGCATAGGCAGCCTGCATGATAAAGGTCACATATTTCATTCTGAATGCACCAACAGATGACACAATTATTGATAGTTGCATAAGTTACTGGTCATCATTTTTTGGGGCTACCTTGCTGTACAACCCCCCCCCCCATAAAGAAACATCCAAACAATAAAATTAAGTAACAGCCACTGAAATAACAGAGGAAATTAATATATTAATTTCATTTCTTTTAGGCATAGGCAGCCTGCATGATAAAGGTCACATATTTCATTCTGAATGCAACAACAGATGACACAATTATTGATAGTTGCATAAGTTACTGGTCATCATTTTTTGGGGCTACCTTGCTGTACAACCCCCCCCCCCCATAAAGAAACATACAAACAATAAAATTAAGTAACAGCCACTGAAATTACAGAGGAAATTAATATATTAAATAAATATTCTTTACTTACATCAATGTGGCTGATGACTTTGTTAACAGCTTCAGCCTTCATCAGGGTGACGGTGCAACCGCCAAAACCTCCTCCAGTCATTCTAGATCCATAAACGCCATCAGGCTTCATCTCCAAGGCAAACTCAACAAGTTGGTCCAGCTCCTTGCATGAAACCTCATAGTCATCCCTGATCGAAAACATCAGTTTTGATTAGGACCACATAACACCGGTTTATTCAACTAAACTTTCTTCGTTAATTAATCAACTCAAGCAGAGTTTTAAGAATATTTCCTCTTGATCAGGCTCAGTGTTTTCAAAAGACTAAATTGTTTTTATTTGCAGCATTATACAAGTTGGTGAAAGTTGGTTCAGCTTTGGAGGCAGGCAAAACCAAAAGGAAAACACTAATAAAAACAGCCGACTGTAAAACAAAAATGACCACACCTATAATTCAATAAACCATAATTTGGCTCCTATTCTTTCAATTTGTCT